TAACAGCTATTTGATATATTGGGAATCGAGAATAGCGTGCATACACACACACACATTGATCTTTACAACTTGGATTTTCTGCTAAGCAAAATTACGATCGCAACGTTTGACGTTTAACGTGCAACATGCATACGACATATGTACATATGTTTTCGATTCTATCATTTTATAGCTCCGCCTTTTCATGCATAGAGCAATACAACTGGTAAATGATCATATTAATCATAAAGATAAATATCTCGCTTCTCAGAATAAATGGAAAAAAAGTGATTAATATACGCACATATCAAGAAAAGAGAAAATAATAAGAAAATCAGATGGAGTGTACATGATAGTAATTTTTATTGATATTTTTTAAATTATTATTCTGTCAATTAATATTCGAATATCAAACAATAATTCATAATTCTTTATAAAATAATAGCAATTAGTATATTAGCTTGTGCTAAATCGAAAAAAAATGAGAAGAATGTCATGTTCCTGCACGAAATTATAAGAGGAAAGGTCCCAGAATGTCACACTATTAACTCAAAAATCGTTCGTGAAAATGTAAATCCGGTAATATCGCAAATATGTGTGACAACTACAACGTATAATCGAAATGAAAGATTTAATCCAATGATTTATGATTATTAACACGCGGTGCCTTATTATAGTCTTTTTTGAAGATTAGCATTTAATAACGCAATTAATTCAATAATTGGATTAAATGTAACGCATTTCTTTTATCGATATACATAACAAATTACCGTGACGCGATTATAAGACCGAAATAAATTTTATCCCAACGGTTCCTTTACCAAAACCGCTTCAAAACCCATATACGCAATGCCATATTTATATCCACCGATGATCTCTAATCATTTCGGCTAAAGAAAAAAATGTGAAAAGATATTTATCTCATAATAAAAAAAAAAAGAAAATTAATTATGAGACATTTTAAAATTTAATCGTATTGATTTTATTACAAATATAAAATTAAATTAACTCATTGATTTAAAAAAAAAATTTTAATATGTTTGAAATTAATGTAAAAATATTTTATATATAATAAAAGTTATTAAAAAAAATATTAAATATACTTTTATGGCATACAAAATTTGTATCTGATTTATCTGTTTAAAAAATGTAAGGAACAATTTAAGATGATTGCTAAAAATTTATGAAAACTGACGATATACGTGCTACACTGATAAATGTTTACGTGACATTTAAAAAAGCAATTAAGAGTTTAAAAAATTCAAAAGATTGTTTTTCAAATTTTTCAATTTCAATATTTTTTCTTATTAACAAAAGCTAATTATTTGCGTACGCGGAAATAATTTGTATTTAATTATTACGATTAATGAGCATAACAAATAACTTAATATAGTATATTAGTCTTGCTTTAAAAAAATTTTCTCTATATATTAATAAAGCGTCCCATCCCCTTCCATTATCAAACAATATAAAGAATGATCGGCAGCATTTCTAAGGCTCTTCCAACAACTGGTTCCACATGTACGTGTAAATATGCACACACATTCAATGTTTTTCAGCTCCGTAATTACGCGATAAAGTATTATCCGCAATTCGTTATCATGACGACCCTAATTATTATCATCAACTCGATTGCACCTCGTTAATTGCACGGAATGAAACACAAAAGCATTTATTGCTTGCGCTTTCAAATTACATCTTTTGAAGAACATCGTTGTATTAAAATACGAAATGAAATAACTTTTATGTATTTTAAATTGAAATTTATGTAAATAAAATATTTATTTTTAATGTTTGTACTATAAAATATTTTTTAAATTATAAATTAGCATTAAAATATATTTTTCTAAGATAAAATCAAAATGGAAATCCAAAAGTTTAAATTAAAATAATTACATACTAAAACAATAACATATTAAATAAACTATTTTTTGTTTACAAATGAATTTATGAAATTTGCGTCATGAGAATTATGAATGTTATAAAGTTTACGTAATAAGTAATTGAGTGCAAATAACAACGGTTTAACTCAATCGAACACATTATCATTCATATATAAGCCAGACATTATTAATGTCCGAAGATTATGAGAAAGTGATAATTGAGAGAAAGTCAATACGTAGTATTGTTTAATGTGAGATTTGAATACCGAGTTTCAGCGGTCAGTGTGCTAACAGCTGACCGACTCTTCCTCCTTGTGACAAGCAGCGTCTTCAATCATTGGAGTCACAGATGCGTGCAGAAGTGCACGGAAGAGCTTTCTTGTTCTAGAAGACTAAAATAGAACCGCGTATGAAATGGTAGTTAAGTTGTTACGCAGATTCTTCAATAAGTGCGCGTGATATAAGCATGAACGATTTAATTTTAATTCCGCCGCGGAAAAAGCCACATTATTCGCAATCATTAGCGATTAAATTATTTTCGCGAGAATGTGGTTAATTCACCAATCATTGACGAAATGTCACTTACCGTTCTTGCGAGCGAGCCACGCAATCATTTGAGCGACGCAAAAACCGGTGTCTGCTTGTGTTAATAATTTACACTGCGTAAAAAGCGATTTAATTATAATAATGGTAGAAAGAATAGTGTATCGTGACGCTAAAATGCGTTTTAATAGAAAAATAAATAGATTCATGTCTAATCTGCAAGTGTAATCGACAATAATATCAATAATGACGATAATGAGTAAGTAAAGTTTAATATAATTATGAAAATGAAAATGAAAATATTCCAAGAATTTTCCCTCAAATAATATTTTCCAAATAATATGTCTTAAATAAATATCTTCATTACGTTTTTATTATATAATAGTTAAGCCAAAAACTGGTTAGACTCAAAAGTCGTAATATATATTTAAAAAAAAAACATTGATTAATACAGATGAACCCTGATACAGATAAACATGTATTAAAAATATATTGAACAGTATTCTCAATTAATAATAATCGCCTCGAGGAACCAGAAGAGATATGCGATTGATTACATGTTTATTTATTTTTGTCCTCTGCATCTCATTGACCGGCCATCGTCGCTATACTATTTTCTTTTGCTAAGAGAATAATTGATAACCCGGTAACAGATATTTAATGATCCGTGTATCAAACACCAACAACCTTTGATAATACATCCTACATAGCGAAACTAGTAGAAGATTTATAGTTTTGTGCAATTTCTCTCAAGTTCTTTTTTCTATCGTATTTTTTTAATCATATTTTCTTCAATAAATTTAATTTGATTAAAAAGTTTATAAATGATAAGAAAAGAGTAAAATTATCTGTAAAAAATATTTATTTAAAAAAGATTAGAGAAAAATGTTGTTTTGGAGATGCAGTTGATATCCGTCATACTTCAATCGCAACGAAATTTTACTTTTTTTCTCCCAAATTCAATTTATCAAATGACATTTTGATATTCTTCCAAATATTTCACCTACATTTTTGCATACATTATAGCAGTGTGTATTATTCTTGGCATCTGCACCGTACTTCCGCTATCGTTAAAATAGCTGCCAAAATTACTCGAGTTATTGTAGCCAAAATAATCTACTGAACTTGCAATCATCTTTAAAGGAGTTGTTGTTTAACCTATGAGAAAAGCTTTTTTTATAAAAAATTTTTTTTTAATTCTTCTAAAATAAAAACTTTTTTCTAGCTCTCTTCTTTAAATAACTTTAAACTCCGTTTCAAAAAGAATTCTGGCGAACATTTATAACATTTCTTTCTTATCAAATTATTATTAAAAATATAATTTAATTTTCCAAATTAATATCACTTAATAGATCAATTAATTACGAACATATGTATTGCAAAAATTAATTAAGTGTATTTTTATAATAAATAACCGTTTATAATCCTTTTTGATTCCTTATTTAAAATATATATGAATGGAAAGCCCGTGATGCATTGTAATAGAATGAGAAATCTGGGACCACCCATCTTTGCGCAATTAAACTGATAAATAATATAATATGATAAATAATAAAATGATAAATAATATAATATTCTGTCAAGAATATTATCATTTCCGTTCTATAAGTTATCATAAAATGGAAATCGTGAAATCAATAAAATATAATGTCTACCGTATATCATCATTAGTATGTCAGTCGATTTCGCATTATCCTCAATACTCTGCTAGAAAATTAGCGCTTTAACTGGCGTTAACCTCATTTTGTACACGTGTGCATCGTTCATTATTGCCTATATCTCAAGGAAACAAAGTAGAGAGTTTGCATCATGATATACACAGCGCCCTACCCTAGAGCTTAATTGAGATGGCAACTAAAACAACATATAAATAAAAAAATATTTTTAGGAAAATATTTATATTTAAAATATTTATGTTCTTGTAATATAATTAATAATATCTAATAAAATTGTAGATATTTTCGAAAATATATCTTCAAGAAGATGTTACCTTATAAGATATAAAATATAAATTTTAAATTAATTTTTTAAATAATTTCTTTTTAAAATAAATGTTTTTTTTCAGTATCACCGTTTTAATTAATATTTTTTAAAACTATCAAAATTATTAAAAAGCAACTGACTTGTTTATGCGATATCTAATGTATATGTTATGATATTTAATTTATATAATTTCAAAATAAAAGGTTTATTTTTGAGTTTATGTATAATACATAAAATTTATATATTTAAAAATTATTTTTTCCAAACATATTTAATAATATCCAATTTGCTTCCTATATCCTATATTTGTTTATCAGGAAAAAATATTTTCTATATTTTGAAATATGTACAAACTTAGAAAGTAAGGATACATTCGCAGCAGAGATAATGAATTGAGAAAATAATCATAGTAACTTTTAAATAATGTTAGAAATAAAGCCAAACAGTTTCATAAGTCCATAAATTTTTCCTAAATCAAATGAGAGAATCATAAAATAGAAAAAATTTTATGAATTTTACGAATTTGTCAATAATTTCCATCTCACATTAATTTTACTAAGAATCTTTCAACGCTCGCTTTTTACAAAGATACTATTTTGCTTTTTGTTTCAGCGCGAATTTACAATCGACTGCGTCTTCAATGAAACCTTGGAGCAACATAATTACAACACTTACAGCTCGGCACGCTGGTCCACGACAAAAAAGACGCTGTATCTTGGCTTGGACCGCCGCGGCCGCTCAAAGAAAGTAATAGTAACTAGAGGTCATCACCTGGGTAAACTATCGGCCTATGCCCGAGTGTTGACGAAGGTGGCTCCGTTTGATCGAGTAGAAGCCCTTCACAGGCGGATGTTGGGCGCACAACACAACGTGCGCCATCGACATCATCGTCATCTGTCACATGGCGGTAACATGGCGCAACAATCCGTCTGTCCCACTCTGCCGCCTCAAGAGAAGGACAACAGGGACATCTTCAGATGCCGTAAACGAAAGAAGAGGAAGAAGCGGAAGCGACGGTGTAGACCGGACGAGCAGCCTGGTCCCCAGTGCCGAGTCGTCGAGGAATCTACCACGAGTCCCACGGACATCGACGCGTCTTCGGAGATGAGCAACATCACCACCCCGGAATCTAAAAGATCCTGCGAGGGGGCGGCCAGCGAGGAGGCCTGCAGACGTCAGGCTCTTTCGGTACCGGCGAAGAAGCGGAAGTCACGGATAGACGGCGGCGACGGCGGCAGCAGCGGAAATCTCAACAACGGTAAGAACAAAGCATCAACATCAAACGCGAAAAAGCCAAACGTCAACATCGCCGATAGTCAAAGTAAAAAGCCTGATTTGACGGACGGGAAAAAGACGAAGAGGAAGGGTCCACCGAGCAGAGGGAAAGCGATGGTCCCGTCCCGGAGGCAGTACGAGTCTGGCACAGTCCAGACCTTTTTGCCGCTAACAACGCCCACCAGCGAAGAGCAGCAGGTCTCGACAGCCATATCATCCTCGTTGCCGTCTCCTCTTGGTGTGTCAACCGCTCCCTCCTCCGCCAGAAGGTCGAATTCGCCGTCTTCTGGCCGTAGGAAACCGTCGCCGTCTTCGAGGAATCACGTCACGAGACCGATGAGCTCGCTTAGGAAAGGAAAGTCGTTTTCAAGTTCGCTGGGTCGAGCGAAATCGACGCCGATGAGCGAGATAAATCTCCCGTCGACTACCAAAGTTCCTGAAACCACGAGCGCGTGGTATGCCACATCTTTTCCTCAACTTCCTACATCCTCGTCAGTTCCCTCCTCTTCGTCCTTGCTCTGGCAGTCGGCCGAAAACTCTACAAATTCACTGTCGAACTCTTCGCTCGTTGATGAGGAATCGCTCTCAACCGTCACGAGCGAATTTACGACTGAAATGGTAGAGTCGATTGCGGAAACGACATTCAGACAGGACGAGTAGGATGTCAATGGTTCTAATATGATCGAGACAATCCCGAGAACGACTACAAAATTTCTTATGAAACTATTGGCAATATGACGTTTCTCATTTTTTCGAATGGTAGGAGGATATCTGCGAATGTCATTGTAAACTATGTGTATATAGAAATCACTCTATACGTACTACAACTTACTCCACTTTCGTATACGACAAGTATACATGTGGTGTATGATATCGTGCCGAAGTTTCCATACTCGCGATATAAGGGGACCGATATGGTTGCGGTTTCAGTGAAATTATGACTTTGTGTTTAAAAATATTTTGATAAATAATAAATTTTACATTTTACATATATACAATTTAAAAATTTAATTAAGTGGATTATTAAAAATATCTTTTCTATTAGAGAATGAAAATTATTAAAATTTCTATAATCTTCTATAAAGAATAAAAAAATTTACTTTTAATATTTTTAACTTATTATGTACATGTTCTTTTTTTATCAGACATGATTAAAGAATATGTATAAAAATAAGATTTTAGTTTTGTTATATAAATTTATAAAATTTATTATAAAATACTCTAATTTGTTTTTTTGATTAGTTTCTCTTAACTCGCGCAATATCAAGAGAATCTAAATATTTTTCTATATATTCTGTATAGAAAAAATTATTTTTTTTAAATATATGAGAAACAGTTAAAAAGACAAAATAAAAATAATGAAAATTTTGTACGGAAATATAAAACGCGAAAAAATTATCGATAATTTAATAATAAAGTTATTTATTAATAAATTTTAAAACATCATATTATCTCAATATTTATGAATAATGCATTTCATAAGACAAAAAGCACTTTATTGCTAAAGTTAAAGATTAATGATGAAATTTGTTCACAGAAATTGTTTCTATGTCGATCCTCGAGATTTACGTGGTGAGAGAGACGGTTCAAGATTCGATTAACATTGATAGAAGCGAAAAGTCAGTCTCGCTTGTTCAGGCAGAGACGAGAGCGTGCCGACTAAAGAGTGTTTCTTACGCTTATTATCCGAAAAGGGATAATTACCAGTCGCAACGGATCGAGAGTATCAAACGGCCGGATAATGAGCATGAAATACGATTTTAATTTCAAAACACTTCCCTCTCGACGGCAAAACAAGTCACGAAGATCGTACACGGGCATGGCGAATGAGTTAATTGCATATCTTTTACATAGTTTCCATAATCTTCATTTGATTTTAGAAACAAATATTCTCTGATTACAACTCTTTTATTATATAAATTTATATAATGTGCAATTTTTAGTTTCTTTTGTTTGTGGATTTTTTGAGAGACCGATATTTCTCTTTAAAATAAAAATATATTTAATTTAAAAGAATTTCTAATAATTAAACGAAATTTATTTATAAATAAAATTTGTTTGTAAAATACTAAAAAAAGCACTGTTATTATGCTTTTAAAATATTTTATAATCGAGTATATATTTTGAAAAAATATATATACATATTTAAAAAAAATATAATTTTACAATATTTTCAAAATAAATAATGAAAATAATGATAATCTATGTCTTTAGATATTTCAACATTAAAAGAAATGATCTTCGATAGTTTTAATAATTACAGAGCATATTTCTAACATGACAATTTAGGTACGTATTTTTAATATCTATATAACTGTCTCTCATCTAACATAGACACAAGTATGAAATAAATTCGATCGAATAAACTATGTAAATAAAAAATTTAGAAAAATATAATATATAATGACAGCAAATAGAAGCAAATGAACATAAAAAAATTAAAAGCGAAACATGTGTGTGTTAATATTTGTGCCAATTAGCATAATATCTGCAGATAATATTATCGAATTAAAATGTTGTTCAAAATTATATTTATATTAGATAGATGTTGAACAAAATGATAATTAGTTTTTCTTTTAATTTGTTATAAACCGCTCTCGTCTCGCCATGTACATTGTTACATAGAAGAAGCTTCTTGTATAATATATTACTGGCAAAAACTACGTCCTAATTAGCGCGATTAGCGCATAAGTATAAGAAATTAATAATTTAGGTATTTTAGCGAACGAGGGGACCGGGAGGGACAGCGCAAGACAATAAGCGATTTGAAGGAAGAGATGTAGGCGATAAAATCAATTCGACCGTGAAATGCAATTGTTCTCGAGACGGTAATAGAAATCGAATCTAATTAAGAAAATTCTATTCAATAAAAATTAATAGTTTCGTAAATTACGCTTCTCATATAAAATTAAGCGAATTCCGATTACGCTTAATGTAATGTTTCGTAATGAAATAATTTTTTTATTAGTATAAATTATATACAACTTTTTTGATTAGTATAAATTATATACAAATTGTAGAATATATAAAAAAAAACGAGCCCAGCTATTTAAATGCTAAATTTCTATGAGCAATTAGTCAAATTGTGAGTTTAAACTTTTGATTTCGCAATAAAACGTGATACTTTTATCAATGACGTGTATATAAATATAAAATTATATGTATTAAAATTTACCGAACCGTATAAAGTAAATTTGTTCAATGTAATCTCAGTATTTATAACGAAGCGAAGTGATCGATTTTTCTTTATTGTACCAAGGAGATCAAATCGCAAATTGTACGTGCTGATTTCTCGAATTTTTATTTACTCGACGATTGTTCCTCGCGCCTCAATTTTATTTTCGCAATTCGTTTCAAGATGATTGACAATATGTAAAAATTAGAAAGTCTCAATGATAATTTCCATTATATTAAATTATTTCCATCATATTATAATCAAAATTTGCCACATATAATTAAGATTTAATCAAACAATCAAAATATTATCGTGAGCAAGTAATTGATTTAATTGTAGACTAGAACAGATCTGTAACGGAACAAATATTTAACAGAATTATTCTCCATACACTTTTATAAATTTCTGCTAAATATGTAAGTTTTAACTCTTTATTAGTTCAATTTCATGAAATTAGCTTTAATGTTATCTTCAAAAAATATATAGTCAAAAGAAATTTCGAAATGGAATTGATTGATAACGAGTTTAATAATGACACTGCGCTCATTTATGTTGATGCCCGATACAGTTTGAATTTTTATGAAAATTATTCGATTACCGCTCGAAGAGTTCAATTACTCATTGTCAAATAAACGAAAAATCATCATGACTCCTTGTTTTTCTAATTAAGAGTTTCATCGAATCTAGATGTATCTGTGAAAAAAACCTCAATCTCACTGCGATTTTTTTTCTTTTTTGTAGAAGCGATCTATTAATATAGTGGTATATTTATTAAAGACTTATTTATTGTAAACAGTTGAATCCAGTGTACATAAGTTTACGATCATTATTCATCAATCATCGATCATGTGTTCTACGTGCGTTGTGTTTGTCTTGTAGAATCCGTTGAAAATACATGATAATGTCTCGTATTTCTGTTCCAAGAGAGAAATCATTTCAGTAATTTATTTAATAAAATGCGACAGGTGGTCGTCTATAATTTCACGCTAATATTCAAATGTTCTATTTCAAAGCAAGTTGATTTCCCATGCATGGCAGAGAGTTCATGTCGCACATTTGATAATAGTCACTGGCAAAGTGAACTACTGCTTCCGCCAGAACTGAAATTAGACCACTTCGCGTCGTAACAACGTGTGTTCTTCATTTAAATTCAGCATACCAAGTACATATACATATATGCAAAGAGTGTAACAAAAAGTGTAATGATAATGGAACTATTCGATGCTCTTTTCATTTTATTTGCTAAATCATTCAATGTTTTCAGAATACGCACGAAATTTTATTAGGATTATAATTAAAATCTTTGAAATTTATAGCATAAAACAATAAGATTATTATATAAATAATTTGCATTGTCTTATTGTTACATCCTATAAAAAAAATGATAGTGGACTCTTCAGTTATGAGACTAAATTTTTTTGCGGAATAAATATGCTATCATAAAGCATACGATATTTTCTCGTTCTTATATTTGATAAACTTTTATGGCAGAAGAGAAAGGTTTTTCTCTTATTATTGTCTTGAATTTCAATACCGAATCATTGATATTTTCAACAGATTCTAAATTGTCTCAATAAAATAAACGTATACAAGTTCTGGCGAATGAAATAATAAACATTTGACGGGATAAAAGACTTACGAGTTAGTGCTTCTAGACTGTACGAGTTTAACAAAGAGATAAAGTTTGTAAAATTTGGGAAGATGCACATGGATGCGCGAACGTGATGCTTATCAAGACGGTTAATTATTAAAGTAATTAGCGACATGGATAGCAGAACTTTCTAAGTTGCAGGGATATCATTATGCTGTCCTTATATATGTAATTATATATTTCCAGATTTCTCATAATTTTAAAGATGAGAGAATAATAGAGAATAATAGAAAGACAATATATTTTTATGACATTATAAATATTTTTATGACATTATAATATTTAACTCTCATCCATGTCGCTTAAATCCAAAATAATAAAAAATGCTTTAGAACTATACAATGCAAATGAAAAATTGAAGAAAACTAGCTTGGAACGTAATACATATAAAATGATATTTTTTATTTTAGTTGAAAAAATCTAAACTAAAATTATATTTCTAAAGAATTATGTTATATGGAATAATTAATGCAGTTAATTATTAATAATAAAATAATACGCAAACACGATCGTGCATCGTCGGCATGATTCCAGATTCAAAGGTTGAAACAGAACCAGTCTAGCACTGCCATTCTTTTTTTTTTGAAATATATATTTAATTTTCCCATAGACTGAAACGTTCTTCTTAAGATTATAAACGAGTATTTAATTAATAAAATGATAAAAGACCGTGCTGATGAAATCTTTCATCTGCGGATGCTTAATGTAAAACAAACAAAATACCTAAAATAGTACAGTCCCAGAATGATTTGTTTTCTAAGCAAAATATCCCATGAATTTCCGATATTACCATGTAATTCGAAATTCTCCATGACCTCTTTTCTTTTCTATCCCATTTTCCCAGGGAAATACATTTCTGAGCATCATTTTCGCGAAAAAAGATAAGAAGAAGGAGAGAGAGAAGGGACAGGAGCGAATAATGAAATATGATCAACAAATCGATAGAACAAATTTCTGATTATAAATCCAAGCAATTCTCGTGAATGCACTCCCCATTTTCTCTCTCACTTCTTAAATGCAGGACCCCACCATATCGTCGCCATATAATTTTTAGAAGTAATAAAAGAAATATTATTGAATATATAAACGTTG